CCCTTCCTTGGGATTTGAGCTTGAAAGCCACACGCCCTCACCTCAAAACACTGGCTTTAGCTATGCTTGTATCCGTCAGTACCCCTAAAGCCGCAGAGCCCTGCAGCTCTCCTTCTCACGAGTTGAGATGATCGCACCTTGCGACCCTGTCACCTCCTCACTTTGCCTTTGTGCTTTTTCGGCAGGCCACAGGGTCTCTATCGGTAAAGGCCGCCTCCACAAGGACATAGCCACTTCCATTATTTTGGACCCTGTTCTTCTCAGATACCAAACGCTGCAGGTCTCCCAAGTCACAACTTGTGCTGAAATTACAATTACTTAATGCCAAGTCAGCAAAAGAAACCAAAAAACTCATGATACTATGCACTCTGTTTCAGTGCGAAACCTCGCTCGTGGATCAAGAAAAAAAAAAAAAAAAGAAAACCCCTTCCTCCCCCATGCAGTTCCTCATCCCCAGCACTCCCTGTAAAGAAACAGCTGGCCACGTTATCAAGGACACGGCGTGCAAGATTTACCAGGCTGGCTGTCACCCGGTGACACGTGCAGCACTCCTCCTTTCCCCAAGGCCCTGCCGCCATGCAACGGCCCCCGCAAGGCCTTCGGGAGAGGTAAACAGCGGAAAGCCGGCTTGCCTTACAGCTGCGAGGGGAAAGCCTCCCACTCACGAGAGCCAACGGCAAAAACAGAATGCAGAACTTCTGCCTGAAGCCTCCTGTGACAAGATGGAGACATCTCTCCGACACAAAACCACCAGGGAAAACCGAACCCAAGCGGCAAGAGATAAGCACCGAGTTATGTAATGGTTTCGTGATCCACGTGAAAACACATCGCACCCTGCCGGGGCCGGCTGATGGTGCTGACACAAAACAGGAGGAACATTAAAGAGGAAAACCAATTACCTTGCCCACCCTTAGTTAAACGGAGCAAAAAATACCAAGCTGCGGAGAGCAGGGGCCTCTGCCGTGGGAGAGGCACCCGGAGCAAACGCTCGCACCTGAAGAAACCCTCCACATGTGAGTAAGCAGCAAAGCCTCCCAGGCAGGTCTGTTTTTTTCCACTGCGCTGCAACCTCTTCAGCAGAACAGCATACGCCTGTCTGCAAAAATTTCAAAGCCAGTTTCTGATGTGAGATTACTGGCCACCTACCACGTACGATTACAGTCCTGCATTTTATTCTGAAATGCGCTCAGCACCTCCCTCAAGGCGGGGGGACAATTTGATCATTGTGTCACTCATTAAAAAGTCACTGTTCCTCTTCTGCAACTTTCAAAACACTTCAAAAAAAACTTCTCCCAACATTCAAAATAAAGTTCTTTTTTTTAAACTCACTTTATCCTAAATTACTCCTAAGCCACAGCTCACTTTGCCTTGAAGTGGAAGCTGTGTTTGTCCCATGTGGAGCAGGGAACAGGCTCTCCCCACTCTCACAAGCCAGCCACGCCGAGGTTTCTCTAGCCATCTCACTCTATCAGCATGCAGAGTCGCACGGCTCTGTCAAGGGGAGACCAGCCCAGGCCACCATCCCTGTCACGGGGACACGCTGCTCCAGCCAAAAGGGCTCAGCCCTTCCTTGGCCTGAGGCGCACAACCCGCGAACAGCTCTTAGGGCACAGGGAGACACCTCTGCCTCACGTCCCCTCTGTCATCCCCATCCCGGGGACGGCGGAGATGGGACATCAAGGGACGGAGGTGCTGCGGAAGGGCCGCCAGCCGGGTGCGGAGGCACGACCGAGCACCGCACACCCAACGCCTTCCATGTGAAGTCACCGCAGCCCCGGCTTAGCACCACCCGACACATCCCGGGCCGCTGCGCGACGCTCACCCCGACGCCG